TACTCCGGGCCACTGTATGTCTGAAGCATGTAATTGATTTTTGATTGGTCATTATAGGGGCTCACATCTAAAAGTTTCCTGTGAAACCCAGAGGAGACTTTGGATTTGAACTTCTTTGGTACCAGTACTGGGACTTCAACTGAGGGCCTGGACTCTATCCCTTAGCTTTACCCCTCAAGGCTGGTGCTCTACCACTTGAGCCACAGCTCCATTTCCAATTTTTTGGTGGCTAATTCTATATGAGACTCCCACAAACTTTTTTGCCTGGGCTGGTTTTGAACCGTGATCATCAGATCTCGATCTCAGCCTTCTGAGTAGCTAGGAGTATAGGAAAGAGCCACCAGCTACTAGGTTGGCTTTGAACTTTTGAGCAATGCTGAAACACTTAAAACTAGGGACTCATGAAGACGGTCTAAGTGTATTTTATATTGTGAGATGGACATAAGATCCTTTGGAGGCCAGGGGAGGATGTACAGAATCCCCCAAATGCCCATGGGCTAAAAGCTTGGTCCCCAACTTGGTGTTTCTCTGCCTAATTGTGGATTGGAGCATCTAAAACTATGAATCACACTACATTTTGTGAGAGGGCTGTGTAGACTTTTGGGAGGCCAGGGACAAAATTCTATGGTTTTGAGCAAGGATGACTCCCCAGAGCCCATATGTTATAGGGTTGGTCCCTAACTTGACTCTGTTGGAAAGTAGTGGAAACTTCAAGAGGTAGAGTCTAGTGAGAGCTCTTCAAGTCATGGGGGCATGCCTTTCAAGTGGATTGTGGGGCTCTGCTCTCTGCCTCTCTCTCTCTCTCTCTCTCTTTCTCTCTCTTACATCTAAAACATAAGGTAAGCAGTTTTACTGCACCATGTGCTTCTGTCACGATGTGGTCCTAGTCACAGGTATAAAAGCAAAGGGACCAATAGAGGGGACCGAGGAAACCTCTAACACTGTGAGCCAAAGCAACTCTTTCCTCCTTACAAGTTAATCATCTCAGGTATTTGTTTTCATGTTTGAGCCTTTCCAAATTCATCTGTCAAAGTTAACCATGCATTGAGGAATGGTAATTGCCTCTTTGGTGTGGGCCTCCTGAGTAGCTAGGATTATAGATCTGAGACACCGGCACATGGCTTTAACTAGATTTTTAAGGCCCAATCACAAAGCTGAACACTGCTAGTTCATACCTAGCCACTCAAGAGGCTGAGATCAGAGGATCATGACTGAAAGCATGCCCACCTGGACAGAAAAGTCTGGAGATTCTTATATCCAGTTAACCAGCAAAAGCCAGAAGTGGAGCTGTGGCCAAGCGCCAGCCTTGAGATAAAAAGCAAAGCAAGAGTACAAGGCCCTGAATTCAAGCCTTAGTACTGGCATTAAAAGATATCCCTATCATGAATCAAGGTCACATTGAGGTATTAGGAGTCTGAAATGGAAAATACAATTTGGTGGGGAGAAGAGAGAAAATTGAGCCCACATCAGTACTTTTTTGCAGCGTCATTTTCTAGAATAGCAATGAATGGGGATGATTGTAACTACTGGTGTTTTCCAGGATCATAGTACTCAAGTGAAGGTCAACAATGAATAGGTCACTGGTCCTGGTGCCAGGCAGGACAGGTGCTGTCACCCACAAAGGGTTCACAAGGCCAACTGCCGTATAAGGGGCCACCATGCCCAGGGGAGAAGTCATGCCTCATGCTCCATGGAGATGCAGTAGATGCCTCGCTTTGGAGGGGTTTACCACAATTGACCAGGGCTTTTAGTGGGGAAAATCTTTTTTTGGGGGGGGGTTTCGGTCGTGGGGCCTGAACTCTGGGCCTGGGCGCTGTCCCTCAGCTCTTCAGCTCAAGGCTAGTGCTCTACCACTTGAGCCACAGCGCCACTTCCGGCTTTTTTCTTTTTGCTTATGTGGTGCTGAGGAATCAAACCCAGGGCCTCAGGCATGCAAGGCAAGTGCTCTACCACTGAGCCACCTTCCCAGCCCAGGGAAAATCTTATAGGGCAGAGCACACACCTGTTTTAGAAGTGGCCAATAAAGACCTGTGATGGCATAGATCAAAGGCTCCACCATTAGGGGATCTTGGTCCAACCTCTGAGCCCAAGGAACTGGCTGGCAGGTGCTTAGGCTTTTTTCCTGCCCACATGACTCAGGTGAAGGTGCCAGGGTTCTGGGAGGGAGTGAGCCCCATCAATGGGCCCAGAGTGAGGGGAGAGAGACAAACGCAGTCATTCTGCTCACGTGACATCTGAGGTTTAGGAATGGGGTGGCCTCCAGGGATCGGTGCCTTCTGACCAGACACTAGGCTTTCGGTTGGCCAGGGCCTATGCGGGGTCAGGCTGCATAGGGGAGGCCCTCACCTGTCGCCCCCACTGTGGAGGAAGGGGGTGGAAATGACCACAAGACACTTGAGAGTGGACAAGCAGGAGCAGCAGCAGAGGGAGAGGAGCAGCTCACAGAAGGCCAGGCTGCAGCTTGCCTGGAGAAACCTCAGAGGTCCAGGACTGGCCTCTGGTTGGTGCTTCCTGCCTTCTGGTGGCATGAGCTAAACGCACGGTGCACGGTGACCGAGCAGCGGTGCTAAATACAGTCACTTTCTGAAGGACCTCAAACTCAGACCCAAACTTGTCACCTCCCCGCCCTCAGGCCCAGGGGGACGATTGATGGAAGCCCATCAGACAGTCACAGACTCACCTGCACGCGCATGATGCCGCACAGGCCTGTTGTGCTCAGGGGAAAGGCACAGAGCTTCCATGGGCTAGCTGACTGGCGTTAGCCCCCTCCCGGCCTTTGTCTCTGGTCCTGCTGCTCCAACCTGAAGGGGCTCCTGGCAAGTTGCCATGGAAACTGTGTGGCTCATGATGGGGACTATGACCAAAAACCTGTGCACTCCCTCCTGGCATACTTCAGTGGGGAGGATGGAGTTGGTCATGGATCTAAAGGCAAGGTCAGGTCTACTGTTTGCCTGGGCAAGATCACTTCAGTCTTCTGAGCTCCTATAAAAGCAGCTGCATGCAGGAGCATCTTGTCCTCATACCCAGGCTGATCTGGGAACTTTCTCTAGAGTGTCAGCCTGGGATCGCACAGATGGCCAGTCTGATCTCACTGAATGCCCCCAAATGCCCCCCAACACCCATGGTGCTGCCAGTGATCTTAAAGCCCTCTGACCCTTGTGCCCTTTCAACATCTGATCCACTTATACCTGGGGCCTCCCCAAGTGCCCTGGGAAGCCAGGCAGTCACCAGCTCTGAAAACCATCAGCATGCTGTTGCCTGACTTCTGCTCATTTTCTGGCTCCCACAGCCCCTCACCAGTCTTGTCCTGGGCATCCCCAACGTTAACCCAGAAGCCCCCTATGCACTCCCATCCCAACAAACATGAGACTCAGCAGGGAACATGCATGAAATTTATTGAAGAGAAACATTTGCTGAAAACCATTGAGAAAAGATGACAATGCAGACAGTAACTTCCACCGCCACTGAAGGATACCCATCTCTCTCCTCCACTCTTGACAACATCTTTTATTTACCAACTCCTCCTTGTCAACACTCCTTGCTGAGAGTCTCAGATCTGCCTCTTGCCAATACAGTGGCCTTTGGCCATGCCCCCTCACTTCAGAAGTCCCTTTTCACTGTGTCTGGCACAAGACAGTCCCAAAACGCTGGAAAGCATAGCAAAGAACACCACCCAAGTCACTCCTGGTCAGTTCGTTTTGCCCAATGTTGAAGTTTGGGTCACTGGTAAGTACTTTTTCATACACCCTTTCAGCTGGCTCCTGAGACTGGTCTCTGAGCCTCTGGAAAGGAATTGCTCAGTGAACATAGGAAGACATACATGCACGCACATGCACGTGTGCGCATACACACATATGCAAGAGAACACCAGGTAGCTTGGCCTGTGTCTGCAAGAAGAAACCAGAGGTGGACTATGGCACTAGACAGAAGCAAGGAGAGCCTGGGCCCCAACAGAAGTTCTCATTAGCTGGCACCTCCAGGTTAGCTGATGTCTTACAGATACCTCCAGCTCAGCCACCCGAGTTGGCAGGGTACAACCTGCCCTTGGCCTTATTAGTGGCTGAGTTGTAACTTGCCATGCCAGGCTCCAGTACTCCCTGCTCATTATCTCCGGTTCTGCAGTCTCCCTGCAGGAACAAAAAGAACCAAACGACCCCACGCCACGTCCTCCCTCCTCTGCTGCTTCTGTTAGAACAAAGGCTGCCCAACACACCCACTCCTTCCCACAGCAGTTCTACAGAACTGTCCCAAAGAGCTTCCCACCTCCAGCGTGCCTATTTGTAGCATCTCCTGAATCTTTGGTGTCCTTCCCACACAGCCTTGTCAGGCTGCAGGGGAGGAAACTGCCTCTGGGTGGCTCTGGCCTCCCAAGGCCTTTGGGTCTAGGGACCCAGCCTTTACTCAAGCAGGGGCTCCAGGATTCTGCCCTCCTGGAGTTCCCTTGCAGCAGTGCAGATGATCCTGAAGATAGGCTGGACTATGCAGCTTCTCCTGTTGGGTCTTCTCTCTGTCCTGAAGCCCTGGCTCCTGCACACTGGCTCTTTCTGGCTGTGGCTTCCCTGAGGCAGGCTGCTTAATCCCCAGTGTGGCCTCACATTTAGTGAGGCTTAAAGCAGAGCCCGCATGGGGAGCATCTGAAGGTGACCTGGTGATGAGACCAAAGCCCTCAGCCTCACCATCTTGGTCCTCTGTTTCACTGTGGTCTACCTCAGGGAATTGGCTTTCTTGTGGGCTGGGTATGTCAGCTTCCTGGATATGTCCCTGGCCCTTCAAGGGGCCCCTGAGTATGGCCTTCACTGAGCTGGGTGAATGTTGGTCTTGGTTAGTGTCATATTTTCTAGTTGGTGGAGGGTGACAGGATGTGGTGTGGGCCTGGCTGCCCTGCCCTTCTGCTCCCATTAGGTCCCTTGTTACTTGTGTGGGCTCCCTAGTTCTCCTTTCAAAGTGTGCCTGTGGCCTGCAAGGAGAAGGAAGGCCTGCATCTCCTGAGCCCTTGTTTCCTAGGGCTTGGGGTGGCTCACAGCCCCAGGCCCCTCCCCGTTTCCCAACTCTATTTTAGGCTGGACAGTCTCAGGTCCTTGGTTTGTAACCTCACTCTGCCCTTCTTCTATTATACCATTAAGCACTGTTCGCCTGCGCTTCAGCGTCCCAGGTATCATTTCATGTGTGGTCTGGGTGCCACTCTCACTAAAAGTCACCGTCTGAGAAGCAGTGGTAGTGTTATGGACACTGACTCCTGCGCTCTGTCTGGTACCACCCCTTTGTCTTGCCAAAGCCTCTAACCTCTGCTTCTCCCTCATCACTAGGATGGTATTCTCACGCTCCTCTTCATCTCGGACAAGCTTCATAAAATCCAGGAAACAAGGTGGGCACCCTCGCTTATCTAAGAGCTCAAGCTTACCCCGGAGGCTGGGGGTCATGGACACCTGAGATAGGACATGCTTCAGACGAATCATATCTGCATTTTGTATTAACATTGGGCTTTTCTGCACAGCTTTCTGCAACAGGGGCTCTAAGCGCACCAAGAAAGCAGACATCTTCTCTGTAATCTTCTGAGAAGACTGCAGAAACCTGAATTGGGATGTTCTATAATCCTCTTTATCCCCAAAGATCTGATTCAGGGTGTCCAGGCACTGCTCCACAGTCATGGAGTTGTCATTGGCCACGAGGGGCCGAATGATCGCCAGGGCAGGGCCACGCAAGCTCTCTAGGAGGCGTCGCCTCTTCTCTCCCTGTGACACCTGCCACATGCGTATTATCTCAGTGACCTGCTCTAGCCAGACATCAAAGGGCTCTTCATTTTGACCTGGGTAAATGGTTCCCGAAAACACTTTGAGTTTTCGGTACCATGTGTTTTCCTGCAGAGGCTGCAAAGATAATGGTGTGGGGTCGCCTGCAGCCTCTGGGCTTACCCCCTCTTCCACGGGCATCATGCCAAACCCCAAGGTTTTGGCCACATCTACCATTCTCCGGCCCTCATCTTTGAGAAAGGAGTTCAGCTTATGTAGAAACTCCTCATCCGGGTTACGGGGTTTGACTATCACTTCCCAGGTCCCCCCATTTCCTTTGATATGAGTGGGTATCGTAGCATAATTGACAACATCAACCAATTCAATGAACACTGCCTTAGCATTGTCTTCCCTCCTGAAAATCTTGCCTGCCACCCTGTACTCACACAGCGGATGTAAACCTGTCTTCACAGTCTCCTCAATCTCCACCTCATTACAGTGCACTGGGATACCCACAATCAGCAGCGCCTTTTGGGGATCCACGTCCATCCCCTTGCACCAATCCTCCAAGAGTGCCACAGCCATTGTCCCCACTCACTATTATCTGGCACTACAGCAGTAATAAGCTCACAATCTTAACAGAAAGAATTCTACACCAGTGCCAACAAGACAAGTAGAAGGGTTCCGGGTTTCCACCACAGCCTGTAATACAGATGGGAAAGAGCATAGTTAGTAATTCCACCATTCCCTACTAACGGCCCTCTGCTAGAACCTCCCCTTAGAAATTTAGACTCTAGGCTTTCAATGTGGTTCAGTGGTAGGGTGCTTGCCTAGCATGCACTGAACCCTTGGGTTTGATTCCTCAGTACCACATCAACACAAAAAGCCAAAGTGGCACTTTGGTGAAGTGGTAGAGTGAGCAAAAGAAGCTGAGGGACAATGTCCCAGCCCTGAGTTCAAGCCCCAGGACTGGGGAAAAAAAGAAATTAATTTACTTTTTACTCCCTACACATCCCACAATCATTTTGTGCAGGGTGTTTGCAGGAAATCCCCCCCCCCCAACCTACCGTGCTGACCTCCTACTGCTGAAGGTTCGCCCTTGGAAGTTTCGGGACTGTACTGCTATAAAGACCTGTGGTGGAAAAGGCCAATGTCAAGAGACAGAGTGTGATGTCAAATGTAGTGGACATACATTTCTGGAAAATTTTCCCATGGTCCAGTTGGGGTGTGGGAGTGCAGGTCACCTGGTATCGTCCTGGCACAGGACTTGTGTGGAGCTCCACTTTGAGGAATGTGTGATAAGTGATAACAATGGCCACAGCTCTGAGAAATGTAAGAAGAGCAGTAGGTGTGGGGAATGGGAGACCAAGTGCAGTGTTTTTATGGAAACTTAGATTGTGGACTTTTATTAGCAAGCATGTTATACAGCAACGTTAAGATCCTTGGAGAGTACCAGGTGCAGTCTCTGGCCTCCAAACGATAAAGCATCCTGGTAACAAGGGGTGGCGAGATGAGTATTGAGGAAAGAGTATAGTGCTGAGAAAACAAGAGTTTGTGGATTCAATGTGTGTGAAAGCTTGAAAGAGAGGCAAAGGAGAAGTGAGAAGGGTCAACACACACCTTGCACTATAGTCTGGGCATACAGAGCAGTGTGTGAACCATGGTAGGCAGCCCCTGCCCCTTTCTGCTATTTGTCAGGGTTTCTGAGTCCCCTCCCGTGCCAGCCCTAGGCCGCATAAGTCCTCACCGCTGTTGGTGTTGCAGTGCTAGACTGTCCTGGAGGTGGTTAGCTGTAATTTGGCTGGAGCTAGAAGGTCATGGGCTTCCTGGACTCGGGTAGTCAGTCTCTGTGTCACTGGAGCTGTCCAAGGTAAGGAAGCAGGTGGTTTTTCTTTTGGTTTTGTGCCTTGTCGTCCTGTGTGCTCCTGTTCTGGAGAAGGCATACCAAAGGGGAGTCTGTACAGAAGTTTCCACCCACCCCATACAGGGAGGAAGTGCTCAATATGGGATAGCTGGTAAGACAAAAAGAATCCCAAGGTCTAGTGGATCTCCTGGCCCTACTACACATCGTACCCATGCAAAGTGGAGCTCACCGGAGCCCACTCATGCTCAACTTCCCCACACTAAGTCATTAGGTAAACCCTTGCCCCCCCCAAAGGTGGGTGTGGTAGGATCTGGTTACGAGTCTGAGGCAGACAGGTTGCTTCAAATCCAGAAAGTGCACGATAGCTTAGGCTACACAGTGAAATCCTATGTCCAAAAAATAAAAATAAATAAGTAAAAGAATCCTTGCCTAACGATCCATATTCCTTCATATAAGGCCCATCCCCATCTGCCATTTTCTCCACACTGTGCCACACAGGAAAGTTCCATATAAAAAAATTGAAGGAGCCAAGTACCAGTGGCTCACGCCTGTAATGCTAGCTACTGAGGAGGCTGAGATCTGAGGATCACGGTTCAAAGCCATTCCGGGCAGGAAACTTGTGAGATGCTTTTCTCCAATAAAAAAGTATCAGAAAACCGTAGCATTCGCCTTGAGCAGAAGCGCGCAGAGACAGCGCCCGGGCCGGGCCCCGAGTTTAAGCCCCACAACTGACCCCTCCCCGCTCCAAAAAAGAAAAGAACAAACAGGTACAAAAAAATGTGCATTTTTACCACATATTACTTCATCTAAGTTCCCCTAGCCACCGTTTTCTTCACAGCCTAGGCAACAAAGTGAGACCCAATATTTAAAAACTCTACCTATAGTCTATATTTCCTCATCTACCGCCGCACGCCCGCCCCCGCTCACCCCCCTCCCCCTCCACATCAACGGCCATTCCCCAGCAGGGAGTCAGGGGTCAGGAACAGCCAAGGCCGAATCCCTCGCCTCAAAGTACCAGGCCACTGGTACTGTCCACCAGACCTGTAGAGCACCACAGAAAATAGTACAGCTCTTTACTGGGTGCTGTGGCTAGGGTTGGGCCTGGAACCGAGCAGTATACCGGCTAGAAACGTCTCCTGAGCTCCTTCGCGCTTCTGCCTCCACGTCAGCCACCGAACACACTAACCACCAAGCCGAAGCGGCAGCAATTTATACTAGCTGCCCCACCCCCCACGGCATAGCTGCACACGACCCTCTTGCGACTGCGCATTGGTGATCTTGCCCTGTTCTCCCCTCCCCCACGCCCACCCGAGTCCTCCTGCATAGAGAACAAACTGATTTCCATTGTACAGTGTCTGAGTCCAGCTAATTTGGCCGAATGGATACACCCACGGTCTTGCCAACCCAGCAGCCACTGTGGCTCTGCTTGGACGGTCCCTCCTTAGACCGTACACGCACTTGTAAATTCAAACTGTTACTAGAGGGCCGAGAGCAAAATGGAGGGCCAAATGCAGAATGGAGCACTGAGTACAAACTCAATGACCACATACACATCTGCCACTAAAGACAGCTCTGTCAAAAAATACAAGCCAATGTAAAATGTAGGACTGGTGGGGACTTTAACCAACTCAAAGGTGAGGACTTTGCTTATTTTTTATTAGGCTGTATACAAATACTTCTAACAGGGACACAAAAATTTTCACTGCTTACTAACAAATGAAAAACCTCACAGAAATTATATTCTCTTTATTTTCTCATCGGGTATGCCCCATCTAGCACCCAAACGGCCCTCTTGCCTTTCACAAGCAAGTTACTTCCACAAAGGAAAAACTTCCATGTTAACTCAGCAACCCCAAATTACGATCCTGGAAAAGACTGTGCAGATGGCATACAAATGAACACACTGAAAGTACACATTTCACAGTCAAAAGTCGAAGGTATTGCAGAACAGATTTCTTTGGCCTTATTTATGATTTAAAAGATTACCCTTTTATAGAATGTCCTCATTAAAAATATTAAAAACACACAAAAAAGGCCACTGACCAAGGCATTTGCATGTCTTCCCACCTTATTTATTTATTTATGCAGACAAAATTCTGAAGGTAACCAAATGATCAAGATATTTGCAAAATTACTAGCCCCATTTATTTACTTGCTAGTTTTCAGACAAAATTTTAACTGTCACTGACAAACATACTTTTTCAGACAAAATTTTAACTGTCACTGACAAACATAATTGAAGTTTATTTGTTTATTAATTGAAAGCAAATCTTAAGGATCATTGACCAACATATTTGCACAAATGCCTTCCCACCTTATTTATTCATTCGTGTATATATTTATGCAGACAAAATTTAAAAGCACTGAATGATCAATGCATTTGTAGACACAGCTATTAACACTTGTTTATAATTTTATTTATTTTCATAGTACTAGAGGTGAAACTCAGGGCCCATGCACATTAAGCATGTACTCCATCACAGCTACATCCTCAGCCTTTAACTGCATCTGTTTTCTATGTCTCAGATGGATAGCATACACCTCCACTCTTGCTATTCCTAATAAGAACATACCTTGGACATTCTTTTAAATCAATCTCCTCCTGATGAGGAAAAGCATAATGAGATAGTACTACTAGAGTTACAGATTCAATGTGATGCATTACCTGCAGCACCAGTCTGTGCTGTCTCCTTGCCTCCACCACCTACCATTTTACATCACGTTATCATGGCAGTCATTATGGGAACAGGTCATACTCGCCTTTGAGAGACTGCATGCTCCCATACTCAGACTTCCCTTTACTTCATACTAATAGAAAACTAGCTTCCTCTCGCTTCTTCCTTACGGTATAAGAAGTGGGTAAGGAATGATAGCAGTGTTGAATTTTACCTGAATCATGTGATAATGGAAACAGTGTTCCTACCTTTCTGCAAAGAAATGTTTCCCCATGTGACTTAGATTAAATTTAAGGAATGCCTCCCTTATAATCCATGACAAGCCCAGACCAAGGTCCTTCAAATTCCTGTTCTTTTTTTTTGGGGGGGGGTCATGGAGGCTTGAACTCTGGGCCTGGGTGCGGTCCCTCAGCTCATCAGCTCAAGGCAAGTGCTCGACCACTTTGAGCCACAGCGCAACTTCCATTTTTCTACTGATTTATTGGAGGTAAGAGTCTCATGAATTTTCTAGCCTGGGCTAACTTTGAACCACGATCCTCAGATCTCAGCCTCCTGAGTAGCTAGGATTACAGGACTCAATCACCAGTGCCCAACTAAATTCTTGTTCTTTTGTGTCATAAATGATTAGTTGAACATCTTCCTACCACTCATCAACAGGATCAAAATCATTGCTAGGCAAGGTTTGAGGTAGTTTCTCTTCTTTTTTTAGACTCAAACTTTAGCCCACTCTTGTACCAAGGCAGCAGACAGCAATAGAGGCAACCTCTAAGAATAGTCTGTTCCCAGGTAAAACATTCTCTTCTACATTCCAGAAATCCCCATTCTCACACTATATTCTTTTCAACCTTGTTCACTCTTCCCTTTACAACAAACCCCTTTCTTGCCTAATCAAGAAGTATTTTTAGTATTGCAACATTTATCCTTTCCTCCTGACGGAAAGCCTTTCAGGTAAAGTCTCCTCATTAAGGTGATTCATTCTTTCCTAACCTTTATTGAGGTATGGTTGAAAGTAAAAAAAATTCATAGATTTAGTGTGTATAAAGTTT